AAAAAATTTTAATGAAGATATTTATCTTAATTATGAAAATATACTAGCATGTTTTTTAATTTTTGGAACCTAACCCTCCTTTTCGTATTAGTTCTTTGTTTCGTATAACACGGATTCGCATAACACGGCAATTTTTTGGAACGTAACTACCGTGTTATACGGGGGTTACCTGTATATTAAATTCATGGATAATGGAATGGAATAGAATAGAAATATGTTATTTTGAAGGTGGATCTATATAAAATAATGTGTAAATAATGTGTGATTTGAATTTTACAAATTGTATATTTGTATAATAAAAATGTTTAGATAAAAAAAAATTGAAGCATTTAAAACTGTTTCTAATTTATTATTTATTAATAATAATTCCCTATAATTATATCAAATAAGAATTCTAACAAAATGTGTAAAACTCAATAGACATTCCCTTACTATGTAGAACAAATGATTAAAAGCTTTATTTGAAATTATTATATACCAATGCCTATTACATTAGAAACTTACAAAATAATTTAAAAATAAAAAATATTTTTTATATTATTTTGTAAGTTACTAATTAGGACTCCAAATATATCTGTTTTACATATGATTATTACATTAAAAAAATGAATTGCCTGCCTGAAATGTAACATTGTTTCAACTGTTTTAACAGAGCTTCATCCATAACTTGAGATATTTTTGTTAATTAAGGACATAACTTATAGTTTATATGTCTTTATGCATAAAACTTGTCTAAAAGAGATTGAAATTAATTGTACTGTACTTACAACATGCATACATAACTTTCATTACATATAAAATTTATAAACAAATTTTTTCAAAATATCATTGTTAAAATGATATCTTTTATTATATAATTTTTCTGTAGGAATGGTATTTGAATTGGGTAAGAGAACAATGTTTTTCTATTAGTCCATCACTTCAAGAATGTGCTCAACTTCTATCTAAACTTAGTTATGAGGATGCATTGTCTGTCATGACAGCAAAGGTAGAATTTAACATTTTGGTATTTCAAAGTAATTTATTTAATTTTTAGTTTTAAATTAAATATATAAATGTTATTAAATGTAATATTATTTATTTTTAAAAAATATAAATTAATAACTTAATTTAAAATAAATTTTCTTTGATTCTTTTAAATATTTTTAGGAATTTCATATTCCAGTGTTGGAGTATTGCTTAGAATTAGGAATTCAAATAACTGTTGCTTCTCATGCTAAGGGATCACCAGTTATTAATTCAAGAACAGTTATAACTGAAAGCACAGAATGTCCTATGTATATTGCTGCCAAAACTACTTTGTTACAACACATTACGCATTTAACAGGACTCCTTCCACAACCTCATCAAGCATTTTTATTTCATTATAATGGAAACAAGCAAAAATTAACTAAACATCATAGCCAGTTAATTGGCATATTCAGTGACAATGCATTTTTGGATATTCTCTTCCAACTAATTCCAGTTGTAACATATTATTTAGAGACTCTCTCTCAGTTGCCAGAACATCAAGAAGTTCCTGTCGATTCTTTAGAAGATATTGCTAGATTTAGTATTTTAAGCACAGAAGTAAGTTTCATTATTATTATTAAATGTGAAAATAATATATTTATAAGATATTATTAAAATTACAATATATAATAATCTCAAGGTTTCAAATAATTTATAATAATCAGTTTTGTGTGTCTAGCAACAAATACACATATATCAGATTGCTGTTATTTAACACTGGTTGTAAATAACTAGAGGTGAATAAGCCAAACTCTTAATGAAAATTAGTCTGTTCGGTAGAAATCACTTTTTCAACAAATTTTAAAAATGTTCAAAATTCACATTTTTTTACACACGAATAATTTTTTAAAATGTGACTTTTTCCAGAAAGCCATATATGAAGTATTTTAATCTAGTTATAAATAACTAGAAATCTTGTGTTTAAAAAGTGCTTTACAATAAAAATACTTATTTAACCATAAATGTGTAGATCTCTAACTTTTTGATTGTTTAAAATTCTTTCCAAAATTATTTAATTCAATCACAATTTTAATTCAATAAAATATACATGAAATAAAAATATGTATTTTTATTGTAATGAATATTTATCATGTAGTTAATACAGTTAATACATACAAAATTTAATACAAATTTTCTATAAAGATAAAATGTTTATTATAAAACAAAAATAAATATGATAAATTAGTTTTTTTTAAAGTTAACTAGTTCAAGAAAAATAAAGTAAATTTGATTTTTAACTAGTAATTAATTTTCATTTAATAACTGAATATTATTTAAATAAAATCACATCATTATATGATACTATTATATGTATGATATCATTTATGTTATTTTTTACTGTTAATTATGTTTACTAGTTTAATTTTAACAAAACACACTTATTATTTATTTAAATTTTAATGAAATTATCTTTATAATGATTGTTGAAATAATTTAAGAAATTATACATTATAAAATTTTAAATAAAATTTTTTCTGATTAAATTTGTTGTTGTTACAAGAGAAATCAGAGAATGTCTATACTGAAAGAAACAAATTAGAGAAATAATAATTTTTTTTACTATTATTATTTTCTTTCATTTTTGTATAATCTGAAAAATTTTTCAGGCTTTTTTTAATTATATAAAACAGATTAATGTTTGAGGAAGTTTGAATTCTTTCTATGTGCTTATGATTCTGATATGTTAATATGATTATAATATTGATATTATAAATTATAATCATTAACAAATCTTTATTATTTTGTTTCTTATAATATGATGATTTATTTTATGATTGGTTATGATCATGTTAATGATTATTAACATAATAAAATCAATAATACTTATAATTATATATGTACAGTGAGTGATCAGTTAACAAACAAATTGGATAATGAACACTTTCATGAAAGATTTTTATGTTCGGACAAAGAACACATGTTCAGATAACAAATACCTCACAGAACAAACAGAAGAAGAAGCAACATAAAATAATGAATACTGATTGGTCTTCCATTGTCTTCAGGTGACAATTTGGAACTTTTCAGAGTGTGGGAGATGTCGACGTTGATGCTCAACCCAGTATATACTGATCAAATAGTATTCCTCCGAACTTTAAAACTCTCCCTCGTAATTCCAGCCTTTTATTTTTCTGATAGAAACAATTCTTTTATAGTATTTGCAAGACTGTTGGGCGGGCACTCATTAAGTTTTGTGTCGGTTTTTATTTTTGAAAGGCAAGAGTATAATAGCAAAGGCAGAGAGTGGGCAGAAGATGTCTGATGTTGCTGGGCAGTATGGCTATAGATCTACAGTAGGCCACAGTACAATCTTATCTAAGAAAGATACTGTATAATCAAGAAGACCCAAGCAGCTTAAGGAGTAACAAAAATCACATCTGAGAAATAAAGAACATTGAAGAGCTCATAATAGAACCTGAAACAGATCTGATGACAGAAGAACGCCAAGAACTCTTGAATGAAGAACACCAAGAAACTCGGCGAGATATGTTTTCTTCTGAAAAAGAGGGATTAATGCCGATATCTGCTATTAAAGATCTTTTGAAGAAGTGGGAGGATGTCAGAACAACGGTCTTAGAATGGCAACCAAACCAGGTTAATAGGGATCTATTAACCTGGTTTGGATTACCAGGTTAATAGGGATCTATTAACCTGGATGGTTAATAGGGACCTATTAACCTCATGGTTAATAGATCCCTATTAACCATGAGGTTAATAGGGATCTATTAACAATGCTACTTACTATTCACTAGTTACTTACTTATGAATCTATTAATATCTACAATTACAATGCTATTAATTACTTCTGAAAAATCCTGAAGAAGAGAGAAAAGCAATCAACATTGGACAGATTCTTTAACTTCCACAAACGGAAAAAACATGACTAATAAAAATGCAAGACTGTGTATATATGTATTTTTATTATTACATATAAATAAATGTAGTTAGAAAGTGTATATTTTTTATTTTTTGGGTCTTCAGAATGAATTAATCAAATTCCAATAAAAACTTATGGTAAATCGATAATTGGTTAATTAAAGTATTCATTTGATAGATAAACTTATTTAATCATTTAAAATTTTAACAAATTGACAATAAGGAATCTAAACAAATTCTAACTGTCAATCAGTTTTTAGCAAATTTTTTATTTATACATAGATACTAGTAGCTATAACATATTTATATATTTAATATTTTAAGTTTTTTCAAAATTTTATTGAAGATTTGTTAGNTCTTTGATTCTTTTAAATATTTTTAGGAATTTCATATTCCAGTGTTGGAGTATTGCTTAGAATTAGGAATTCAAATAACTGTTGCTTCTCATGCTAAGGGATCACCAGTTATTAATTCAAGAACAGTTATAACTGAAAGCACAGAATGTCCTATGTATATTGCTGCCAAAACTACATTGTTACAACACATTACGCATTTAACAGGACTCCTTCCACAACCTCATCAAGCATTTTTATTTCATTATAATGGAAACAAGCAAAAATTAACTAAACATCATAGCCAGTTAATTGGCATATTCAGTGACAATGCATTTTTGGATATTCTCTTCCAACTAATTCCAGTTGTAACATATTATTTAGAGACTCTCTCTCAGTTGCCAGAACATCAAGAAGTTCCTGTCGATTCTTTAGAAGATATTGCTAGATTTAGTATTTTAAGCACAGAAGTAAGTTTCATTATTATTATTAAATGTGAAAATAATATATTTATAAGATATTATTAAAATTACAATATATAATAATCTCAAGGTTTCAAATAATTTATAATAATCAGTTTTGTGTGTCTAGCAACAAATACACATATATCAGATTGCTGTTATTTAACACTGGTTGTAAATAACTAGAGGTGAATAAGCCAAACTCTTAATGAAAATTAGTCTGTTCGGTAGAAATCACTTTTTCAACAAATTTTAAAAATGTTCAAAATTCACATTTTTTTACACACGAATAATTTTTTAAAATGTGACTTTTTCCAGAAAGCCATATATGAAGTATTTTAATCTAGTTATTAATAACTAGAAATCTTGTGTTTAAAAAGTGCTTTACAATAAAAATACTTATTTAACCATAAATGTGTAGATCTCTAACTTTTTNGTGTATATCAACATTTATACTGTTGTCTATTTTATCGATTTCTGTATTATTTATAATCTCAGGGACTTTTGTAATATTTTTAGGTATAATTTTATTTTTTATTTTCCTTTAATTTCTTCTGATGTCAATTCCCATATCTTTTCATTCTTAACAATCCAGCTCCATGCTGACGAAATTGCTGTAATGTGTATCGGTGGGATTCCCACTATAGCTAATAGCGCATCTGACGGCGATGTTCTATATGCCTTCGTGATATTTATTGTTGCCATCCTTTGGACCGACATCAATTTTTTCCGTATGTGGGTGTTGTTAACGGCATCCTGCCACACGGGAACAGCATACAAAATTGCTGGTTCAATAGCAGTCTTATAAATAAGTTTACAGTTTTTTGGATTCAGTCCCCAATATTTTCCCATTATCCAATTGATTTGATTGACTCTTTGCTTGGTTTTGTTAGTGATTTCTTGTATATGGAAATGCCAACTTAAATTGGGGTCCAAATGTACTCCCAGATATTTTAGAGTCTTTACTTGTTTGATCTTTTTTCCATCCATTCTTAATTTAAGGGTTTTCTGCAATTGCCCACGCTTATTTTTTCTTGTGCACACCAATGCTTGGCACTTGTTGTAATTGATTGGTAGTTGATGTTGGTTACTCCATTGTTGAATTTTGTTTAATATTTTGTTGGCCATATCCGTAAGATGATCACGATTCTGATTCTGTATCATAACCATCAGGTCATCTGCAAATGCCTGGATTGTCATATTATTTCTGTTGTCAAATTTTTGAAGCAGATTGTCAAAGACTAAATTCCACAGGGACGGTCCAGTGCGCGAGCCCTGTGGGCAGCCTCTATTAATATCCTTAATAAGGTGAATGTTGTTTGAGTGGAATTTGATATGCCTATTTTGCAGATAACTTTTAAGTAATTTCACTTCATATTTAGTATCTTGGAGTTCATCAAGTTTATCGATAATATCCTGCCATCTGAGATTGTCGAATGCTTTGGAGTAATCAATAGAAATGAGTAATGCATGTTTGTTCTTTTCCCAGACATCATACCAACTTTTTAACATTAATTATTGCATGCGTTGTCGATTTGTTTGGCCTAAAGCCAAATTGGTTGGCATGCATTTTACCTTAGCCATTCAATTCCCAGTTGATCCTTCTAATAATTAAGCCTTCCAAAGCCTTCCCCATGGTGGGGAGAAGGCTGATAGGCCTGTAGTCCGAGGCTGATTTCAGATCTTCCTTTTTCATAATTAGCTTAATGTTGGCCGATTTCCATGCGTCCGGAAAATAACCTTTTTTTAGACATAGATAGAAAAAACAATTGGGATTTCCATAAATGCGTTGATCAGCATTTCAGTAGTTATTTCATCCAGCCCTGGGGCCTTCTTTTTGCCCATTGTAAAGATAGCTTCCTGTATTTTTATGAAGGTGAAAAGTTTACATTGTATTCCCAGGTCCTGATCTTCGTTATTTCCGTTTATTTGGGTATTTCTCATTCTTCCATTGTTATCAATACTATCCATTGGAAAGTGGTATTCCAGTAGTTTCCTGATGTTGTGCTCTATATTGTAAGTTTCTTCTTCGTTTGTGTTCTCCGTCCAGTTTAAGATGTGTGGTAAATGGAATTTTTTCTTTTTCTTTAGTACTGTTTTATGGGGAAGTTCCCAAGTGCCTTTATCGTTACACTTGTCACAAAAATCTCGCCATGCCTGTGTTTGTGTTGTATTTAAATTCTTTTTGTATTTTTTTCAACTGATCCTTATATTTATCTTTTAAGATACTTTTTTGTTTTTCATTTCTCGCTCTGTGATATTTTTTTCTCAATCTATTCGTGCTTTTCCTTTGTCTTTCTAACTCTTCTGTCCACCAATGGGTTGTTCCCTTGATTTGTTTTGTTGTTGTCCTACTGGCCCTTATAGCTGCAGCTTGTATATCTGTGGTTAAGAATTCGCTGTAACGATCAATGTCTTTAATGGTGTTTATCCTTGGGTAATCATGGTTACTCCAATTTTCTTGAAATGCTTTTCTGAAGAGTTCCCAGTTTAAATATTTCTTGTTTGAAGTGGTACGATCAGTATATATATCCAAATTGTCAATTTGTGTAAATAAGTATCTATGGTCACTACCAGTATTGCTCAATAATGTTTCACAGTTTGTAATGTACTGGGCAAGATCCTCCGTGACTAGACACACATCTGTCCAACCCTTTGCATTTGTTGTGTAGAAAGTTGGGTGATCCGTCATATTTGTTGATATAAAACCAAATTCCTCCATCATCTCCATTACCATCACATCTCTTTTGTCTTCTTTTGTATTAAACCAAATACCAGACTTAGCGTTTAGATCTCCCGCTAAAATAATGTATTTACTGTTGATGCTTCTTAGTGTTTTGCTCAATTCAGTCATCGCTTGCTTGTCATTCATATTTGGTGATAAGTATGCATTGATAATTATTTTTATATACAGTAATACCTCGACTTATGCTACCCTGACTTACGCGAACCCGGAGTTATGCGATTTTCAAATCTCGCTGATTCGTCTTTTGTTTGAGTGCCATGCAACTCTTGATTACTCACTTCTCCCATACTATTGTTCAGCTTACATGTTTGGACATGTCGCACGGAATTGACACATAGCTACAATTTATTTTGTGTTATTTATTTCTGTGTTTGTTATATCTACGGAGACTTGAGAGACTGTATGTGGTGATTTCTTATAACCATGAATGAATCAAAAGACGAGATAAGATTAACGAGAACATTTATTAGCTTACATACATTCGACTTGGATTTTACACAAATTACGAAATTTGACTTACGCGAATTCGACTTACGCGGTTATCGATTGGTCCCACCTATTGCGTAAGTTCGGGGTATTACTGTAATTCAAATTTTTAACCAAATATTCAAACCGTTTTAAATTCAAATTTGTTATTGCATATTGGTTTGATTATAGAACGATTGTAAACATTCCAGAAAATTGATCAAAGGAACCTACAAAGAGG